ATTTTTGCCTCCATCAAAAATGCCACCGCCACAGCCGGGATTTGATTCTGCGACCTGCGGGTCAGCAGCCGCTAGACCACTGCAGCGGGGCACCCCATGAATGGAGTCTCTGTGTCAAAGTTGTCATTAACCTTTTTCAGGCACAACACCCTGCTGAGCAATGAAGGGCTAGACTTTTTCCAAGTACATCAGCGTTTCTTTTGCTGAAGTCTTTCATGCATCTCCTACAAAGGTAGCTTCTTCTTCCCCCTCCTTTTGATGATGTAGGATCCTTGCTACAATCTCTTTTATTGACAGTGTGGCACACGTCTCAAGGCGCATGTCTATGGTTACATGGTCCCTGAAAATGCCGAGCGATGTCTGTACCCAGTCTCTCGGACAATTTGTTTCGGCCACTGGGTTCATTGCTGTCATTAGTCTCGTGTTTCGCGAAATGCGTCAGTACTACTGAAGTGCACTCTGCAGTACATTTCACTAAACTGAAATACATCAGTATTGGGTTCAATGGCACTTGAGTGGGGGACATAAAAAATGTTTGTTCAACTGAACAGTTCACACAACAAAATTTTGTTCTAATGGTATTTACTGCGTTATTGCAGTATTTTAATGTAGTTTGGCTACTGATAAGAACTAGAAATTAGAGAAAAAAGTTCAATATAATAATTTTTGCACTGGAATGAAGACAGCATGGGAAGGGAGAAAAACTGTGTATAGCATAGCACAAAAAGATCTTGTGTGATAACTACAGTGAGCGTAGAACCATTCCATTTTTTATCCATGACTCAAAACTGCACGAATGCCATTTTCGTTATCGCATGTAGACTGAAAACTGAATATTAATCTGTGTGCAAGTCCTAAGGCATTCATGACATTATTAACCACGTTAACACTTTATTATTTAAGAATTTTCCTGTCACAAACTTCATTACTTTTTTCAATTTGATTTTCAGTACTTTTTTTCCTAAAATGCATGTTTTGATTGACTCGAAAAAAAAAAAAAGCGGATATTAATACCGGTGTCACACAGTGCACCGCTGATCACGATTAAGCCTGCTTGAAGTCCATTTTTAACTATGATAGGCTCTCTTCTGGAACTTGCAGAAAAGGAGCCAATCGGTATCGAGATACTGGACCAGCATAAGGTCCAATCGTGAGCAAAAGTAACTGCGTCTCATCCTTACAAGTCAAGTTAACGAGGTTTGTTGTCCCATGGCCTTTTGGTGTTTTTCACGATGTGAAATATTGTTATTAACTAGTGAACATAACAGGTAAAGCTATCAAAATAAACTTCGGCATTAGAGTAGTTAGCACCCAAAGATATGATAACAAAAGTAGTCTTCTCTACAATGGTGCATGAGCAGCACATGCATTGTCTTCACAGGAGAAAATTTTCTAAATGCAAGTTGCAAAAAATGTGAAGTGGCAGGAAAAAATAATGAGAAATTTCCATGAAAGTTTTGTAATGTGGAAAGTGACTGAAGAATAGCCTTGAAATGAACCAGTCTTGTTGAAAACAGCCCATGAAGTCTCGCCCCGCCGCGGTGGTCTAGTGGCTAAGGTACTCGGCTGCTGACCCGAAGGTCGCGGGGTGGAATCCCGGCTGCGGCGGCTGCATTTCCGATGGAGGCGGAAATGTTGTAGGCCCGTGTGCTCAGATTTGGGTGCACGTTAAAGAACCCCAAGTAGTCGAAATTTCCGGAGCCTTACACTACGGCGTCTCTTATAATCATATGGTGGTTTTGGGACGTTAAACCCCACATATCAATCAATCAATGAAGTCTCGAATTTGAGGTCTCTACACTTATTGAAAGGGGTTTGGGCACACCTTGAAAGGATGAACCGCGCTTATTCAAAGCAGTTAAGGGGTTAAACCCGGCAGGGAGAAGCATACTGAAGGAAATTGTGCAAAGAAATTGTTATCATCATAAGCTCTACTTTCAAGGGGTAGCAGAAATTGGGGCCAGGGGAAGGAAAATGCATTCAGGGATGGCAAAAGACAATGTAGTGTAGTGGAACGAGATTTTAGGCAGAGGATGGTACTCGTAGAAAATGAATGCCAATGGCATACCTATAACGTTGGTGCTGTATTTGACAAACATGAGCAGTTGCATGATGCATGGCAATTTCTGCTAGTGCATCAATTGTGTCAAAAATAGTCCCATATTTTTTTAGCAGTTGCACAATGTTTTCATATACTTTGAAAGGAAGGCACTACAGCTCAAAAAACTAGAAAATAAACTAGGCCTTTGAGTACTTAGAATAAATAATGAGCTTTTCTATAGTTAACTACTTGTTTTGCCATCTCCTATACTGCTACTGGTTGCAAGCACTGTGAAAAAGATGGGCATGTTATGAAGGCGTCGTCATCATTGCTTGGTTTGGACTGAGCCAGGCATGTTGCTTGTTCTGCTGGGGTTATGCCGATCAATACCGAGATTGTAACGCAAGCACCCTTAACGATGATGTTAAAAGCTTCCTGAATGCTGTCGAGATGCCGACAGTTTTTACGTTTTATGCATTGGCAGCACAGATGAGTAACTCGAGTGGTGGCATTGCCTTCTCCCCATTGCAGCATGTATGTCCCTCTGTCAGCAACAGGGTAACGCTGATACTCACAAGTATCAATTGACATCAGTATTAAATGCGAAGTATTTCTTTATGTAATGCAAGCACATTTAACGTCTCCATACGTATCTTTGTCTGCCTGTCCTGTACTAAACAATTGAGCTGCCTATGTGTGGGTGCTCTCACAATGACCCCTTTAACTTGGGATAAACCAAAATTTGTATGGGAATGTAGGATGGCTTCATGAATATTACTCGCTGGTTATGACATGAATAATAATGTCACAATCTTGTCGCATATGTCGTCAAACACTTCCCGCCGGACATTGGCACATGCCCGCGGGTGGGAGTGTGCCACAGGTGATTGACACTTCATATCTACCCAGGAACAGTGAGAATACACTGAGGTAATTTTAATGCCGGAGCATTAAGAAAATGTTGTCATCGACTACATGAACCTGCGAATGTTAAGAAATAAATGTCGGGGTACCAGCAGAAATCGAACCCCAGCATTCTGCGCTGCAATCAAGTGTTCAAAAGAGCCAGTTGCCAGGTCACGCAACGGCTTTTCAAATGGACCGTAATGTTCGTGAAGCGTCAAATGAAGATGCAGTGATGGCTATCCAATGTTGTAATCATTATATATGTACTCCTACGATACATTCGTCACGTCGGGTTAACATCAGCTGCGGTTAAATACAATGCACTGAAGGTGACTGACAACTAAACTACAGTGCAAATTGACATTGGTAATTTTAATTTGAGAGCATTTAGAAAAATAAGTGAAGGTCCACAAACTCGATGATGATGAGTGGACGAAGCTGTAGGTCCTAAGGTCGATAATGTCTGCATTGAAGTTGCCAACTAGTTTAAAGGGCGGACAAATGGACGAACGGACGAATAGATGCATGCACATATGGACGGCACGGGTGGTCATGTATTGTGCTTGTGTATAGCTAATTACACATAAAGTCGGTTATTTTCACATATATTTTTGTGTTTTGTTGGACACGTGTTCAGTTTAAGTTTGGGTTTTGTTGGGCATGATGGACACCAACTAGGGCAGCCTTGAGAAGCATCGCCCCTAAAAGATGGCATTGCTCATGCATGTATACGCCACATCAATGTGTATGCAAGTGTGATTTCTGACGTCTAAAAATGTTACTGGCAATCACTTGTAGCAGTGTATGACATTTCTTTGGGAGCAGTGTATGACATTTCTGTTGCTGTGAAAAAAAAAACACCAGTATCATTTGCTTTTTCGCCACTCTTACTCCTTATTTTCACAAATCCCTCTAACTTCAAGGTCGCCAGCTTGGCGGATCTACATTTGAATTGCAGAGACTGTCAAAGGATTTGGCAGAAGGGACAAATGCTGATCTGGACTTTATCATTGTTTGCTCAGTGGGGTGTTTTAAAATACTACTTGCATAGAAATAGTGGTGCTCCTTTTTACTCTGCACAATATAAGTGATGTTGAATGGTTTGTAGATATATTTTTTCTAAATTTAAACTTTCATTTTGAACTGCTAGAAATTTGCTTTTTAGTGATAAAGTATGGGTGTTTACATTTTTGCGTAACCTGCTCCAAATATGGTCTTTAGTGTTACAGAATTAACGTTTTGCTGTTCCGAAAATTGCTTCCAATTCTATTTCGATCGTTGAACCCCTGGTTATGGTGCAAAAGGACCCCACAACGTATGAACTTATCTCTGGGGTTACTACCAGTAGCTTGTGGCAGTGCTCCAAATGACTCATTATTGAATTTTCTTGCTGTCCTTCATGTGATTCCTCCAGGTGTCCACCTAGTTATAGAGGGCAAGCCAGTCAAATACATGTCACTGATCTTCCACATCATCTTCTAAGCTACTGATTATAGGGGGGTCATTCTGATGCGAAGGTTCAGGGCTAACCACAATAGGCATAGGTCTTGACTTGTGGTGGGTCAACTTCACCACACTAGTGGGGAAGTTTCTCATAGTGGTGCAACTGCCCGGTTGGCACCGAAAGTCGACAGCATTTTTTACGAATGTATGTCGAGTAGTACCGAGAGATGGATGGACTCTGTGATCATCGTGAAGGGTTAAACCCAAGGAACAGACACACAAACGACATGAATTAGAGCACAAGCTTACACTGCGGATCGTATGGGAAAAATGAGCCTCGGTTGTTTATTTCCCTACTTTTCCCAGGGTGGCAAGGCTGGTACCATGCAACATACAATCATCTGAAAAAAAAAAAAAAATGGAACAGTATCATGCGTGATTCGAACTCATAATTATGAAACGGTGCCATATTAGTCCTACTTGTCTATCAAAACGTGTTGTTTGAACTGTATGGTTCATACTGATCCAGAGTTTTAGGACACAAACTAAAGTGAAAAGGAAAGTGTCAGAATAGTAAAAAGGGCTCTGTGTTCTTGTGCATTTCTCGCAGTAGAAGCCTGTTGTCGCCCTTGATGAGCGTGGCTGGCACGAGCCGTCTCGAGGTGAGCTGTGTGCTGCACTGGTTCTCCTTGTGGAACAGCGCCCAGAGGGAGGCCTTCTCTGCTACACTACTCGCCCACTTGGCACCCCCAAAGGAGGATCCCGCAAGTGAGTTGATTGTGCCACCCAGTGCACTCTACCTTTGATGCTGACCAATCGCCCATTCTGGATAAACATTCCTTACTACTGTTTGACTAGCTGAAATGGTTGCTTGGGCTAGCTGGTACGACATTATTCGTATAAAAACAGTGCAATAAACGGAGGACGAGAAAAAGACGGACAGCGGCACTGACGACCAACAAGATTTATTTGCTCAAACCACGCAATATATGCTTGAGCAGCATCTGAGATATATATGAGGAATGACAAAACAAAGAGGAAACACCTATGACTATGTGATAATCGTGATAGTGTGCCTTGAACATCATATAAGCCAGTGTTCTGAGGAAAACCCATTTCTTTCAGTGGTAGCGCAATCAAATGTCTGCTGACACATACATTGTGCAGTCTTGCCATTCTGAGCGTGTGCTTTCACCTGCTCAGATAAAGAGGCCCTGCAACACTTTCTGAGCGTGGTCAGAAAACGCTGCCGATCGGTAGTAGAGGCTCCCGACAACACGTGAGCCAAATATTATAGCACAGCACGCGGCCTGCAATTCGCAATAAATTATCGAAGTCAGCTGAAGATTGCTTTTTCTTCTCCCGACAAATCACGGAATAAGCCCAGAAATCAATCTTAGTAAGCCCATCTATCAGCCATTCACTGATGGGAACTTGGCGTGCTCGGTCATTACAGAGATGCCGCGGGAGGCAGCTACTTGTCCATGGTGCGATCACACGGGAAAACCCGCACATTCCAAGAAAAAAAAAGGAAAAAGTGCTCAAGGTCACAAGGCGCACGTGATGTTTTTTGTTTGCCCCTCCCATTCCTCCCTGATTAGCTTCCAGCGCTTTCGTCGGGACGAGAGAGAATGCTATTGCAGCGTGTGAAAAATTTTTGTAATTCCTCTCGTACTGGACAGATTCTTAAAATTTTTGTGGCGCTGATTTTTCGAGGCAATACACTTTTCCAGTGAATTAATTTCATGGTTACTCAAAAAAAGTGTTTCAGGACCCCTTTGAACTCCGGCCAGTTTCGCCGATGTACCTCTTGCTGCGAGACAAAGGTAAAGTGCACACTACCGCTTTGATGCATGGAACGAACTTGTTCCGGTGCTGTGGAAACCCTGTCTTACAGCAAGAAGTACATCGGTCAAATAGGCTAGCGTTTAAATGAGCAGCTGAAAGATCACGCTCTCTACAGTATCGGACCACCTCGGCATCTATTGGCGAGACTGCGGCGGTTCTCCCCAACTTTCAGCATTGTGCTGTCATTAAGCGTCATTGGGGTCAGATGATATGCGAAATTTGTGAGGCCGTAGGAATGGCAAGACTGGGCAATGTATATGTCAGGGTACCTTCAATCGCACTATCAAGGAATGAAATTGACGTCTCTTGAATGCTGGCACACGTGATGTTCATGGCACACTGTCATGATGATTACGTTGTCATAGGTGAATTCTGTTTTTTTTGTTTTGTCATTCTTCATATATTTGTCAGATAGTGCTCAAGTACATATTGCGCGGTTCTAGCAAATAAATCTTGTTGTCAGTCAGTGCCGCTGCCTGCCTCCTTTTTCTCATCCTTTGTTTTTGGGTGCTGTTTTTATGTGATATGCTAACTAACCTTTTATTGCTGGGTGTCATGAATTCACGACAAACTGTTTTTCAGGCTGGTTGTCCCTCTATCTTGTGTAAGGTTACTCTAGGCTAGAACCGAATGTTTTGTAGCTGATGAATGAGTGTTCGAAGCATGTGCCAGAGCTCTCACTTATTCGTCTTTTTTCGGCTGATTGACAAAAGTTCAATCTTTTTATGAAAATTTTTTGGTGTGCTGCCTATAGGCTGGTCAACCTCCCTGCTGTTTTTTTGCTGCTATTTTTCTTCCTTCCGTTTGGTGTGCACACGACACGTTATGCGGTTCTGAAGTACATTTATTGTTGCATAATCCTCGCTTGCGTAGTATGTTGCAAATTCACGACATCTAGCATTTGATGTAGTAAGCTATGACTGCTGGTATGACAAGTTCGCATTTTATTTATTGATAGATGATGTATGTTCAACTATTTTATATGAAAATATGGCTTTGCATGTGCTTGCGACCTCAATAAAAGCTACGAAAGCTGTCTTAGAAACACCGAAGTGCATGACAAGGAAATACATTAGACAAACTGAGCAATGTCTTTATGATAGGGCTATGCAACACAAGAACAATGTAAAAAATGGCTATGGCAGCCACCTAGGCTTCCACTGTAATAAATGCACATGCACACCCTAGTTCCAGGATGCTACATTTTTGAAATCGTGGAAGTTTATTAAAGTATCAATAAAGCTTGAGATGAGTGTCTTAGCGTGGCATCACCAAGCCTGACGACTCAGGAGAGATGTTTTCTCGGTAAACACCTGCTAGTATAGCAGTATGGATGTTTGCAATCTCATTATTTAGGGCATTTTTGTGTCAAAGTGCTTGTGGGGACTTAGCTCCAAGTGGTGAATTTTGCAAGAAACATTCAATTGACAGCACACTGATAGTGCTTTTGACTGTGTTTCTTTATCATCAGTTGTCTGCACTGCTTCTAGTTATTTGCTTGAATTGGTATGCTTTCACTGCTTTTTTTTTTTAGAAAGCATACGTTTAACGGGGCACAAAGGGGGTGCCAGGTAGTATAAAAGAATCTGGATAACCTTCTGTACAGTGTCTTTCATCGCTTGTGTACTGAAAACATTGCAAGCTATAAAGCAGAAGATGGCACATGTAATGTTACGTTTTAGGGACATAGCAATGGGTGGTTGAAGCACAGGATCATGCAACTAACATTGAAAGAATGTAAGAGTGGGCTTGTTGGTAGTGATACACGCAGTGTACTGTCAACACTTGCTCTGCCTGTGTTCTTTTTTTAAGTTCGGGTTAGATATCTCTGTGTTTTAGTATGTAGTGAAAAATAATAATAAGCAGCTGTCTGTCATGGCTGTCAAAGGAAGGGGCACAGTTTTAGGCAACCAGTGATTGCAGAGAGTGGTAAAGTGTTAAACTTGCTGGTAGTTTTAAGCTAATCTTTTAGAGTGCAACACAAGCGACCTGGCTTCATCTGAAGATACGTTCGCACTGCCCTGGACAAAAGTTGAACGTGCTTTTAATGAGACAGAGGTGACAGTCAACATACACTTTCAAAGCTTGAGTAAGACTCGTTGTTGGGCGAGTTGGTTAACCTGAATGGGGTACATAGTAGTGCAGACTTGGAAAACACAGATCAGAGAAATTAAGTATGAGAGAGCAGAAAGGTCAGGTGATATACTTGCTGATTTATTTTATACACTGTGCCTCAACCAGAATAGTTAGTCTCCGTTAGGGATCGTGTTGACTGTAATGGTGTAGTAGTAGATTTTCAGAATGTACTGGGCATGTCTATTGGCTATTTTATTGTTTTATTCGAATTTTTTTTCGAAGTCCACTTTTCAAAGCCTGATTGACGTTATCCCATAAAAGTCAAACTAAGAGGTCAGCTTGTTAAGTTTAAAGAGCCCCCAAGCTACCCAGAAGTCAAAACCGAGTTGTGACGTCATAGTTGTGCCCAATTCTATAATGCGCTCGTGGTTGCAGAAACTTTTTGCTTTATGTCATAATACGAAAGTTCGATGTGCTTCAAGATTAAAATGCAACCCTAACTCATCTTTCCCTTTTCTGTGCTATGCTTTATTTAATGGCGCATCTCTCCTTCTGGCCAGATGTTCCTCCTGTCGTGCCCTTTTTTGTAGGGCACAAGTGTGAGCTGTACACTTCAGAAGCCTTTTCTTGCAACTTAACAGAAGTTTTTACAATTAATTCTTGATTATATCTGTGGTTTGTAATGTGTTTGACCTTCTTAGAATATTTTGCAGTGGTATTAAGCATTGTTAGCCGTGGTATAGGTTTATATTGACCACTGCGTGACCGTGTGACATGAGACAGCGGATGGACAAGCTGGACCCTTAAAGTGTTAGCAACCAAAACCCTGGAGGGAGTTTCGGGGCCCTTTAATGGCTTTTTATTACTCCAGTTTTGCAATGTATGCATCATTCGGCAAGTCTGCTAATAGGCTATTGTGTCTGCTCATGCATGTGTGTCTCAGAGCAATGACTGAAGGCATTCTGTGGTCTCTACGTGTCTCCAGGTGAATTGTGTGGCCAGCTAGACACTCTGTCTCTTTCGCGCCGCAACTGCCCATCAGTGCTGCGCTGCCAGCTGTCCCTGTGCGAACTCTACTTTGCCTCCTGGGGACCAGAGGGCCAGCGGGAATTCCTGCATACCTTAGCACAGCGCGACGGTCCCTTCGTGGCCCGCTTCCTCGGCTCCCTGGCACAACGAGAGCCCCTGCTGGCTCAGGCACTGGCCCCGTGACCACCGCCCTTCGCCTATCATCTCCATCGTGGTTTCCCCTGGACGACAAGAGGTATGACCGTGTTTTATTGCCTACATGTGTATTGTCATCAACTGTGTATTGGTAAAATAAAATCATTAATAAAATATTACATGTGCTATTACCGTATTTACTCGATTCTACCGCGCCCTCGATTGTAACGCGCACCCGATTTCCACTGCAAAAAAAAAAACGTAAGACATCGATTGCAACGCGCACCCATTTTTCTCGCTGGCCCGCACGATCACACCACTCGAAAAAACGACTCCTTTCGTGAGCGTCTTCCATTTAAATATGAGGTACGGGCGAAGCTTGTGCTCATCTGACGTGTAACAGAGCATTGCTGTCACTGTAGTTTTACCGTGGACCGATGTCAGCACATGAACTTGCTTCGTCCCCTTCTTCTCGACGGTTGTGGTGCCAGGCATGTCGAAGTAAAGAGGTGTCTGATCGGCATTCCCGATTTGCCCAAGCAGGTAGCCATTGTTGCGCCGCAAGTTTAGGACGAACCTCTGAAAACTGTGAAGCTTTTCATCGTATTCCTCCGCAAAACTTTTCGCATATGCATGTTCCCCTTCGGAGGAAAAAGCCTTTTCTCTTCATAAAGTTAGTTAGCCAGCACCTGCTCGTTTTAAACTGGCTCCGCATTAGACTTTTTTCTAAGACTAATTGCATAGCCCGCACTTGGAGCAGTTCTGTCGTCACGGGCCGCTGTGCCGCTCGCTGCTCAAGCACATACTCGCCGAGCAGCTCTTTAATTTGCGGAAACCGACCCTGCTGTGGTCCACTGATGCCTTTGCGAGAAGCTTTGCTGTCGACAATCTTCTGCTTTTGTTTCCGCCAGTCCCGCACGCACGTTTCGGGAACTCCGAACGACCGCGATGCGGCCCGATTTCCGTCCGTTTCTGCACACGCGATGACTTTTCTTTCAAAAGCGGCATCGTGGTGCACTCGAGTTTTTGGAGTCAGCCCTTCCACGCCATCGATGCTAATGCACTACTAGATAACGAACTGCTCAGCACACGTACGAAGTGCCGCACATGGGAAACACATAGGCAGAAATGGCCGATGCGTCATGCCGACGCACGTAGGGGGCGGCCATTTTGGATTTGCCGATGGCAATAGATTGACCGTAATTTTTTTGTTCGTACTCGATTCTAACGCGCATGCGATTTATGAATCCGCTTAACCGGAAAAAAGGTGCGCGTTAGATTCGAGTAATTACGGTACATGGCAGGTGAATTGCTCACTGCTTTTGCAATACAGTTCAGGGAACACTCCACTATAAAACTTATTACTTTGATTCTTGGTGAATTGTGGTGCAAAAAAATAAAAATCAAGATTTTAGCAGAAGTCGAACCCTAGCATTCTGTGCGGCAGTCAGGTGTTCTACTGCAGAGTCAAGCCAAGTCTTGAAACTTGTTTAAAAAAAAGACTGGTAATGTCGTTGCAATGTCAATTGTTGTTGCAGTGCTGGCTGTCTAATTTTATAACATGGCAATTGACATGTGTTATGATGAAGGAGTCATGTTGGGTTTACTTCAATTTTGGTTCCAGCATTGCTTTTATAGCAGTGTAATAAACATTACATTTGTATTTCTTTGATTCAGCAAGCTATATTCAAGCATTGCTTAACCCCAGAGGCATTTGCTGTTGCGAAACCGGGTCCCGCGGGTCTCATTCTGGTAGCGGGCCGAGTAGTAGGGACCATCATCCAACAAGTCAGATGAGGTGCTCGTAAAAAGGACGACAATTTATTTTCATGGTTAGTAACTGAGAATTCGAAAGGAGGTGATCAAGGGATCAAGTAGAACTCAAGAAGTCTAGAACTGAACAGGAGAACTGAAAATATACAAAAGTCTTCCGCTTATATAGCACCGCGTTGCTAATCTTGGGCGCATTCTCCGTGGCTTCAGCCAATACGGCGCTCGATGGTTAGATGCTCCACCCACGAAGTCGGGGAAAGACACCACCACACAATGAACGTGGAGAGGGGGCTGTCTACACGATGCCCAAATATGTTCACAAATGCACTGCACCAACGTTTTGCTCACGTCACCAAGATTTTGCACTTGTCCGATGATCCTAGATGACCTTGGTTTCCTAGAACACTTCGGGCAGTAGGGTGAGGTTCGAAAGATCGGCTCCCGGTACACATGCCAAACTTGCCTGACTGCGTTCGAGAAGTACAATGTAGTTGCCTGACAGCTTATCTGCAAAACATGCCACTCCATTTAGCTGATCATATAGAAAGGGGGGGAAGGAGGAGTGGTCAACTAATCCCTTGTCGTTGAGGCACTGCGGCGTGTTCCCGCAAGGGCTGCAGAAGATAGTGCCTTTTGCCTTGCCTTCAACCACACATACAATTCCTCGTCGTTTGTTAGAAGTTACAGCTTAACTGTGAATTTCCAGCACATCGCTTCTCGAACAAGCTTTGCCTCTCCTCGCCAGGTGCAGGTACAACTGGTTTGGGTTGTAGCTTTCAGCCAAAACTGCAAATACCACGCTGCTTCTGGTTTCTCCAGATTCATGTTGACCTTGAAAGTCGTCCAGTTGCCTCCTTGTTTCCCTGGAAAGCCTTGAATGGAGTTGAGTCCACGATGGCCTTTCCTTGCTCGTGCGTTTTCTTTGTGCGAAACGGGTCCTGGATCGCTTGTTCACGTTTTGCTGGCAAGAAATCAACCCATTTTGACGGCGCATCCTTGCTTGGAATGCGCCGAAATATTTTCGCCCAGTTCACAAAGGCTGAAAAACAACAATAATGATGACAGTCATGAGAGTCTCTCGCACGGGGGGGGGGGGGGGGGGGGGGGGGGTGGTAAAGATCGCGATGAGCTGAGGTTTGCAGCCACAGTCCGGAGAGAACCATGCTGACGTTCGGTCTGGTGAAGACTGTCCTTAATGAAGTAGCGTACCCCACCTGTTTCATTTTGGCAGCACAGACAATACATACACACATGAAAACACAACCACTGACCTAGTGAGTGCCAGACAATTCCGCCGAACCCCACCTGGCATATTTTCCCTTTTACAAATAATTTAAAGAAGTACGCTAGTTACTCTAAATTTCTCTCTTATGTTTGAGTGAAGCAGAATAACAACACCGGAAGCACACCTAACCTGCAACCCTAATATCGGTGTGTTCAATGTATGCACCATAAGTTCAACCAACTCCAATATGCAACAAAACAACAAAAAAATTGGCAGATTCCACGTACAGTGGGAATCGATGATATGCGAAGCAGGAATGAGAAATGTTGATATGTCACTTTAAAATCAGCACAACAGTACGAGGTATAGGTAAAGGATGCCTACATGGCTTCCATGTCATGGTTATCATGTTTGTATATGTCGTTTACCTTTTTCATCTATTCATGTCACGTGATATCAAATTTAGTATAAGGAGAGCTAGCGAAATGCCCGCGAGCACGCTATGAGCATCACATGTTGCCATGTTCTTACATGACACGCGTGTCACGATTATCATGTTTGCACCAGTCGTATATTTCGTCATTCATTGACGTCACGTAACACCGAATTTGGTATATGTGGTGCTAGCAAAACAACCGCGAGCGCATCATGAAGGGCCCAATATACTGCAAAGTTGCGTTGACGCGCGCGCACGTTGGGCACAGCGACGTTACGTTAGCGTAACGTGAGCATTCTATAGTCTGACGCCAGGCACGACCGGCGTGACCGCGTCCTTAAGCGCGTCCCGACGGCAACCGGTGCGAAATGTGACATGCAGCATTTCGTGCCGATGTATTACCCAGACAACACTGCGTCTTCCTCTTTTTGTGACGAAGGGACGCTGGACAAGCTGAAACACGCATGGGTCAAAGCAACGCAGCGTGGCCCGCGCCTGGCGAGTATATGGCAGGAGCGGCGCCTGGTGTGGCAACGCCGGCATGACGCAACGAAATGAATGTCAGGCGAACAATCGCACCGCCTCACGTCAATATGTATTGGCGCCTTGATTGGGGCGTTTCGTCATGTTCTCACATGGCACGCATCTCATGGTTATCACGTTTGCACCAGTCACATACCTTCGTCATCTATTGACGTCACGTAATACCTAATTTGGCATGTTTGTAGCTAGCGAAACAGCCGCGAGCGCATAATGAGTGTGGGCGGGGCGGGGCAGGGCGGGGCGGGGCGGGGCGGGGCGGGGCGGGCGGGGCGGGGCGGGGCGGGCGGGTGGAAGGAAAGGAAAGGAAAGGAAAGGAAAGGAAGTCGCCGAAGTTCTCTAAGAAATCCGTCGCACTTAAAAAAACCTAATGGATGGCCCTTGTGGCTCGGACCATCGGAGTTGCCATGGAGTATTCTCTTTTGAAACATATGTTGCATAACGAGGCCTCTGAGCCGAACTTTGCTATCTTGCCACGTTCGTGATTTCGGCTGCCTCTCTTCGTGACACCGAAGATTCCTGAAATGCAAGGGAAAGACTCCCCATCGTCCTTAGGTGTTTGATTCCACCCTGAATTTAGGACCAGCAGCCTTTCTTTTAGGAACTTGTCGACATCGTTGTTCACGCAAACCTGTTCTTTGTAACAACGCCTTCCTTTTGGGGACGCGCGTCCGTTTTTGCTACTCCTCTCTCGCCAATATCGCCTGACCATATGCCTCAACAGACGTTTTGTTGAGTTGCCCGATGGCCCACCCTTCCGTTTTCGCTGTGCCGTGCCTTCTGCCTCCACCTTTTGTGGTGCTGCACATCCCCGCTTCTTTCTTTTGCGGTGACACTCACGTACAACCTTTTTTGGTTGTTGAAATTTTCGTGGTTGCGCCATTGGCAATTTTACAGTTCAGATGTGCCTGTGCACCACCCTTTCTGCAGCTTTTACCCTTCGATTTCTCTGCTCCATTGGGCTGTCAGGCCAGTTTATCTGCGCTACCCCTCACAAAACCAGACGCTGTGCCCTCCTATAACTACAGATCTGAACTCTTGGATATTCGCATCCTTCTTGATTTCTGGGTAGTTTATAGCGTCCGGCCGATCGTTTACGAGCCGCCACACGAGGCATGTTTCAAAC